AGATAAAGTAAGTAAAAGATAAATTTGAGAGCTTAAAGCTGAGTATTTTCTCTTTCCGTGCACCAAATTTGAATAAATTATCTTAAAAACTAACAAAGTTATAGAATAGTTAATAAAAAGCTCTTAAATGGAGCCAGAAAGTGGGCGGTAAACAAACTAGTTTCTTTAAAAGATCATAACTTCTAAACCGGTTGAGATATTTTAATGAAAGTGGTATCATTTGAAAGGAAATATATTAGGCTTTAAGATGCATGATGAATAAATTTCATATTCCACGCCTCTTTCCTATAAAAACAATTTAAAAGTTAGGCCTTTATAACATAAGTCTGAGTGGGCGTGGCAAAAAATTTGCAGTGTCGTTAAAAAGGAAATATTTTCCTCTCTTTGTATGTCAAATTTGAAAAAATTCTATTAATAATTGACAAAGTTATGGCAAATTTTCTAAAAACCATAAATTCCACCAAAAAAATTTATTTGATTTTTATTTTTCGCCAAAATTTTTCTTGATACCAGGCCAACAGAATCGTGTAGCAAGTAAATATCCCGCGAAGTATTTTCTTTGAAACGTTATAACTTCGAAACTAGTTAAGATATTTAAACAAAATTGGTGCCATTCAATAGGAATCAAATTCGGCTACAAGTTATTTGTGCAAACATTTCTAAATGCCACGCCCACATATGTTTAATTTGTGTTTAAATAGTTTATACTGTTATATTTCAGTACGTGGTGGTCACAGTTGTAAAATTTATATGCCATTTTAATGCAAATATTATACCCTTTCTAATATTCAAATTTGATGTCAATATCTTTAAAACCTACAAAGTTATTGGTATTTAGTAAAAAAATCAAAAAGCCAACAAAAAAGTGGGCGGTAAACAAACTACATTCTTAAAGACGCTATAACTTCTAAACCAATTAAGCAATTTTAATGAAATTTACTGCAAGTGATAGATAATATATTTGGCTACAAGATACTGATTAAAAAAAATTTAAATGCCACGCCCACTTTTGTTTTATTTATGATTAAAAGTTTATGCCTTAATATCTTAAGGTGTGGAAGGCGTGGCATTAAAATTTGTATACCAATGTAAAGCTGAATATTTCCTCTTGCTATAGACCAAATTTCAAGACATTAGCTTTAAAAACTGACAAAGTTATTGAGTAGTTAATAAAGATATCAAAAAGCCTTTCAGAAAGTGGGCGGCAAAACACTAGTTTCTTTAGGTTGCTATAACTTCTCAACTAGTTGAGCTATTTGAATGAAATTTATGTCATAAGATAGGAAATATATTTAGCTTTATGATACATAATGAAAAAAATTTAAAATGCCATGCCCACTTCCAATGAAATATAATTTGAAGATTTATCCCTTATTACTTTAGAAAAAGTGGGTGTTATCGAAAAGCCTTGTGGAAAGTGGGCGTTAAAAACCCTAGTTTCTTAAATTTTCCATAACTTCTAAACTATTTGGTCTATGGTACATTATTCAACTTTCAATTCTTTTAAACCTCTGCCTTTAACAATTCATTCGAATTTTTCTTTCGTTTCATGAGTTTTTTTGTTTTTCGCGTAATCATTTTGTTCGTTAAATGGCCATGACTTTGAGTAACTTGTTGCATGCTGACATCAAATATAAATAAATTGTAACAATAGCAACAACAACGAGAACACTAAAAACAAATGTAGCAACAGCAGCAGCAACAACATTTAAAAAAGGGGATGAATTGTTGAACTTGTTGGTGGAAGATGACGTAACACCACTGGCCACTTAAAACAACAAAATATTAAGCAACAACATGCTGTGTGTATGTGGTTTTTATTGTTGTTGTTGGTGTTCTTGCTACTTTTTATGTCATAAAAATTATTTGGTATTTTTTGTTGAAATGCTATTTTTAAAATAACTACATTAATGGCAAATGAAACAGTATGAGATGGAATTAATGGAGAAAATTTAGATTGGACTAATGAATAGAACATAAAATGTACGATAATGGACAAACTAGACCAAAGGCTATAAAATTATAATGTATACCATAGGCTAGACTAGACTATAGATTAAACTACAGACTCAACTGTAGACTAGACAACAGACTAAACTATAGACTAGACTATAAACTAGTTAATAGACTATAGAGTAGACTAAAGTCTAGACTATAGACTAGACTATAGATCAAACTATAGACTAGATTATACGCTAGACTCTAGGCTAGACTATAGACAATACTATAAACTTGACTATAAACTAGAATATAAACTAGACTATAGACTAGACTATAGACTAGACTATAGACTAGACTATAAACTAGACTATAAACTAGCCTAGACTATAGAATAGACCACAGGCTAGATTATACGCTAGACTATAGACTAAAATATAGACTAGAAAGTAGACTAGACAGTAGACTAGAATATGGTTGGTTAACGTGGTAGTTCACTGCGCGCGAACAGTCAAGTAGAGTCAAAGAGACTCCGTTTTGACCTAGACTATAGACTAGACTGTAGACTAGACTAAAGACTAGACTATAGACTAGACTATAGACTAGACTATAGACTAGACTATAGACTAGACTATAGAATAGACTATAGACTAGACTATACACTAGACTACAGACTAGACTATAGACTAGACTAGACTATAGACTAGAATATAGACTAGACTATGGACTAGACTATAGACTGACCATAGACTTGACTATACCCTAGACTCTAGACTAGACTATAGACAATACTATAAACTAGACTATAAACTAGATTACAGACTAGACTAGGCTTTAGACTAGACTATTGACTATACTATAGATTAGACTACAGACTAGATTATAGACTAGACTATAGATAGACTAGACTATAGAATAGACTATAGACTAGACTATAGACTAGACTATAGACTAGACTATAGACTAGACTATAGACTAGACTATAGACTAGACTATAGACTAGACTATAGACTAGACTATAGACTAGACTATAGACTAGACTATAGACTAGACTATAGACTAGACTATAGACTAGACTATAGACTAGATTAGATTAGACTATAGGCTATAGGCTAGACTAGACTATAAACTAGACTATAGACTAGACTATAGACTAGACTATAGACTAGACTATAGACTAGACTATAGACTATAGACTAGACTATAGACTAGACTATAGACTAGACTATAGACTAGACTATAGACTATAGACTAGACTATAGACTAGACTATAGACTAGATTATAAACTAGACTATAGACCAGACTATACACTAGACTATAGACTAGATTATAGATTGGACTATAGACTGGACTATAGACTGGACTATAGACAGGACTATAGACTAGAATATAAACTAGACTATACTATATACTAAACCAAAGACCAGACCAAAGAATAGACTAAAGACTGGACTAAAGACTAGACTAGACTAGACTATAGACTAGACTATAGACTAGACTATAGACTAGACTATAGACTAGACTATAGACTACTATAGACTAGACTATAGACTAGACTATAGGCTAGACTATAGACTAGACTATAGCTATAGACTAGACTATAGACTAGACTATAGACTAGACTATAGACTAGACTATAGACTAGACTATAGACTAGACTATAGACTAGACTATAGACTAGACTATATAGACTAGACTATAGACTAGACTATAGACTAGACTATAGACTAGACTATAGACTAGACTATAGACTAGACTATAGACTAGACTATAGACTAGACTATAGACTAGACTATAGGCTAGACTATAGACTAGACTATAGACTAGACTATAGGCTAGACTAGACTATAGACTAGATTATAGACTAGACTATAGACTAGACTATAGACTAGACTATAGACTAGACTATAGACTAGACTATAGACTAGACTATAGACTAGACTATAGACTAGACTATAGACTAGACTATAGAGTAGACTATAGACTAGACTATAGACTAGACTATAGACTAGATTAGACTATAGGCTAGACAAGACTATATACTAGACTATAGACTAGACTATAGCTAGACTAGACTGGACTATAGACTAGACTATAGACTAGACTATAGACTAGACTATAGACTAGACTAAAGACTAGACTATAGACTAGACTATAGACTAGACTATAGACTAGACTATAGACTAGACTATAGACTAGACTATAGACTAGACTATAGACTAGACTATAGACTAGACTATAGACTAGACTATAGACTAGACTATAGACTAGACTATAGACTAGACTATAGACTAGATTATAGACTAGATTATAAACTAGACTATAGACCAGACTACACACTAGACTATAGACTAGATTATACTATAGACTAGATTATAGATTGGACTATAGACTGGACTATAGACTAGACTATAGACTAGAATATAAACTAGACTATACTATATACTAAACCAAAGACCAGACTAAAGACCAGACCAAAGAATAGACTAAAGACTGGACTAAAGTCTAGACTATAGACTAGACTATAGGCTAGACTATATATTAGCCTGTAGACTAGACTATAGATTACACGATAGACTAGTCTATAGACCTGACTATAAAACAGAGTATTGGCAATACTATAGACTAGACTGTTCTACAGACTATAGACCGCAATTTATACCAGATTGTGGACCAAACTGTTGACCAGATTGTAGATTCTGGACCAGGCTATAAATTAGACTATAGATCCAAATATTGAGCAGACTATAGTTATAGTCTATATATATATAGGCTATTAGCTACTCTAAACACTGGAAAATAGGTTAGGTTTAATGGCTAAAGAAGTCTAGTCTATAGTTGCCTGTTGCCTTTATTTATAAACAAGTTTTTTGATCTTTTGAATCACTTCAATTTTACAGCTTAATAAATTTAACTCTCATTGTTGTTGCTTTGTAAAAAAAATATTTAAAATTCCCTTTTACTTATTTAATTTTAACATAAATGCAATTATTTCTATTTTATTTAATCTCTAGTTTTAAATCTCTTAAGAATTATTCTATAACCATAAAAACAAACTTACCCGTTGTGCCATTTTCTCGACCATTAGCATCCGCATTATCATTTCCGTTTTCCGCTACCAAGGCCGTTGTTAGACCGGCTGTTGGTTTTCCCTTGCCATTCTCAGTTTTAACTATTTCAACATGATATTTCACCATTTTGTTTTAGTGTGTATTGTGTTTATGGGTAGAATTGTGAACTCAAAAGAGTTACAATTAGTTAGGAGTGTAAGAGGGAGAGATAAAGGAAAGGATGAGTTTGAACTTGTTTTTTGGGGGATTTTTTTTATTTGTTTTGTTTACAATTTGTTTTTGCTTTATGCCGTATGGGTTACATGTTGTGTTTGTTGTTATTGTTTTATGAGGGAAGGTGGGGGGAAAGGGATTTGTTTTGTTTATTATTAAGTGTGCTTATGCGTTTGTTTTTATTATAGTTGTTGTTTTTCTCTGGGTGCTGCGGTAGGTTAAAGTAGGTTTGCCAACTGTTAATTAGAGGTTATGACAACATTAAACTGTAAAGAGAATTAAACAAAAAAAAACTAAATTATGAAAAGAGTTTAACAAGAAAATATAATTAAATTTAATGAAAATTAAGTTAAATACAACAGTTTATAAATAAAAAATATAATTTTTAACATGTTGTTAAAACAAACCTAGAATTTGTTTCTAGAGGCAGTTAGCTATCTTTCTCTTTGTTGTTACCCAAATTGTTGTTTGGTTTTAATCATAATTTTATCTTTTTTTCTAGTGTCTGTTTTCGCTGGTGTCCCAACAACTAAGATAATTTTATTAAAATGTGTGAAATTTATAACATTTTTATTTGTTTATCTCTTTTACTTTAAATAAATTAAAATAAATTTTAAACATTATTTTTTTTTTGGCTCAACCACAACACAGCTATAATTTCCAAAGATTAAAACTACAAATAGATAACCGAGTTTACTGGCAATTTATGGCAAATATAAAAATTGCTTTATGTTGCTTCATGCATTTGAAAGTAGTAAAAATATGCGATAAAAATGGGAATTATTTTGTAATGCATTTGCATTTATGACACATTATAACAAAATAGCAACAAACAATAGACTAAACTATGGTCTTGAGTATAGACCAGACTATAGACTAGACAATAGACTAGACTATAGACTAGACTATAGACTAGACTATAGACTAGACTATAGACTAGACTATAGACTAGACTATAGACTAGACTATAGACTAGACTATAGACTAGACTATAGACTAGACTATAGACTAGACTATAGACTTGACTATAGACTAGACTATAGACTAGACTATAGACTTGACTATAGACTAGACTATAGACTAGACTATAGACTTGACTATAGACTAGACTATAGACTAGACTATAGACTAGGCTATAAACTAGACTACAGACCAGACTATAGACTAGACTATAGACTAGACTAGACTAGACTATAGACTAGACTATAGACTAGACTATAGACTAGACTATAGACTAGACTATAGACTAGACTATAGACTAGACTATACTAGACTATAGACTAGACTATAGACTAGACTATAGACTAGACTATAGACTAGACTATAGACTAGACTATAGACTAGACTATAGACTAGACTATAGACTAGACTATAGACTAGACTATAGACTAGACTATAGACTAGACTATAGACTAGACTATAGACTAGACTATAGACTAGACTATAGACTAGACTATAGACTAGACTATAGACTAGACTATAGACTAGACTATAGACTAGACTATAGACTAGACTATAGACTAGACTATAGACTAGACTATTGACTAGACTATAGACTAGACTATAGACTAGACTATAAACTAGACTATAGAACAGACTATAGACTAGACTATAGAATAGACTAGACTATAGACTAGACTATAGACTAGACTATTGACTAGACTATAGACTAGACTATAGACTAGACTATAGACTAGACTATAGACTAGACTATAGACTAGACTATAGTATAGACTAGACTATAGACTAGACTATAGACTAGACTATGGACTAGACTACAGACTAGACTATAGACTAGACTATAGACTAGACTATAGACTAGACTATAGACTAGACTATAGACTAGACTATAGACTAGACTATAGACTAGACTATAGACTAGACTATAGACTAGACTATAGACTAGACTATAGACTAGACTATAGACTAGACTATAGACTAGACTATAGACTAGACTATAGACTAGACTATAGACTAGACTATAGACTAGACTATAGACTAGACTATAGACTAGACTATAGACTAGACTATAGACTAGACTATAGACTAGACTATAGACTAGACTATAGACTAGACTATAGACTAGACTATAGACTAGACTATAGACTAGACTATAGACTAGACTATAGACTAGACTATAGACTAGACTATAGACTAGACTATAGACTAGACTATAGACTAGACTATAGACTAGACTATAGACTAGACTATAGACTAGGCTATAGACTAGACTATAGACTAGACTATAGACTAGACTATAGACTAGACTATAGACTAGACTATAGACTAGACTATAGACTAGACTATAGACTAGACTATAGACTAGACTATAGACTAGACTATAGACTAGACTATAGACTAGACTATAGACTAGACTATAGACTAGACTATAGACTAGACTATAGACTAGACTATAGACTAGACTATAGATAGACTAGACTAGACTATAGACTAGACTATAGACTAGACTATAGACTAGACTATAGACTAGACTATAGACTAGACTATAGACTAGACTATAGACTAGACTATAGACTAGACTATAGACTAGACTATAGACTAGACTATGACTAGACTATATACTAGACTATAGACTAGACTATAGACTAGACTAGACTAGACTATAGACTAACTATAGACTAGACTATAGACTAGACTATAGACTAGACTATAGACTAGACTATAGACTAGACTATAGACTAGACTATAGACTAGACTATAGACTAGACTATAGACAGACTATAGACTAGACTATAGACTAGACTATAGACTAGACTATAGACTAGACTATAGACTAGACTATAGACTAGACTATAGACTAGACTATAGACTAGACTATAGACTAGACTATAGACTAGACTATAGACTAGACTATAGACTAGACTATAGACTAGACTATAGACTAGACTATAGACTAGACTATAGACTAGTCTATAGTCTAGACTATAGACTAGACTATAGACTAGACTATAGACTAGACTGTCTAAACTAGAGCAACTTTTTCTATAGAAAAGTTGTCTAGACTAGAGCAACTTTTTCTATAGAAAAGTTGTCTAGACTAGAGCAACTTTTCTATAGAAAAGTTGTCTAGACTAGAGCAACTTTTTCTATAGAAAAGTTGTCTAGACTAGAGCAACTTTTTCTATAGAAAGTTGTCTAGACTAGAGCAACTTTTTCTATAGAAAAGTTGTCTAGACTAGAGCAACTTTTTCTATAGAAAAGTTGTCTAGACTAGAGAAACTTTTTCTATAGAAAAGTTGTCTAGACTAGAGAAACTTTTTCTATAGAAAAGTTGTCTAGACTAGAGCAACTTTTTCTATAGAAAAGTTGTCTAGACTAGAGCAACTTTTTCTATAGAAAAGTTGTCTAGACTAGAGCAACTTTTTCTATAGAAAAGTTGTCTAGACTAGAGCAACTTTTTCTATAGAAAAGTTGTCTAGACTAGAGCAACTTTTTCTATAGAAAAGTTGTCTAGACTAGAGCAACTTTTTCTATAGAAAAGTTGTCTAGTACAGAGCAACTTTTTCTATAGGAAAGTTGTTTAGACTAAAGCAACTTTTTCTATAGAAAAGTTGTCTATACTAAAGCAACCTCTTCTATAGTAAAGTTTTCTAGACTAGAGCAACTTTTTCTATAGAGAGATTGAATAGTTAACTAAAACGTGTCTCTATTAATAATAAAAACAATTTATTGTTTTTTTTTTTCAAAGTCTGTGTAATATTACTAAAAATCAATCAGAATTTAATTAGATGTTATTGTTGAGAAGTTATTAACAGTTTAATTATATTTTATAGGAATGTGAACACATGCTCATTATAAGCAGAATTTAATTAATTAAATGCTATTAATAAATAAGTTTATAAATCAACAATTAACAAAATAAATTTAAGAGATTTTAAAGCTTAAATTATACAACGTTTAAAATATTTGTTTAATAAAAACATTTCTTTTAAATTTTTAACAAAATATATAAACAAAACCCACGTTGCCATCTAGTTTTTAGTTGATTTATAATAGAAAATATTGCACATAACGACACTTTAACTATAAAATTCATTTTAACAAACTATTTTAACTAAAGTTTGTTTACATTATTTAAATTCTTGGAATTTCTTTATAACAAAAATCAATTCTTCAAACTGTTTACAAAACTAGCGACTAAACAAAACGTTTGCAGTTCATGCATGAACATGTTTTGTTAAGTTTTATTTGTGAACTTAACGTTCGCCAGAAATACAACACGTGCTGCCTTTTGGAAAATAAACAAATTATATGACTTTTGTTGTTATTTTTTTGTTATTTAAATACTGTTGCCTTTGTTAGTGTTTAGCAAAACAACAAAACTTAAAAACTGTATTAAAATGTTGTAAACAATCAACATTTTGTTGCTTTTTTTATTTGTTTACTTTTTTTTTTGCAAAATGCAGTTCAAAAGAAAAAAGCTGTACTGAGAAGGGGTATAAAGAAAAAAGCTATAAAACTAAAATAAATTTTTATTACAAAATAATATTTGTATATGAAAGTTGAAAGAAAGCACAAAAAACAACAAATTTACATTTCATAAATAAATCAAAATAAATTAAAAATTTTTAAGTGAAAAAGATAGATGAGCAAAAGTTTTGTTAGGATTTGAAAGAATATATAGATGGCAAAGTGTTGACAGGGAAATATAAACAAATCTGAAATAAGATTAATTGCTTTAAAGCAAATGTTTTATAGAAAAAGTTGCCTTCAATTAGAGTCTAGAGAACTTTTCTATAGAAAAAGTTGCTCTGGTCTAGAGAAATTTTCTATAGAAAAAGTTGCTCTAGTCTAGAGAACTTTTCTATAGAAAAAGTTACTCTATTTTAGACAACTTTTGTATAGAAATGTTGCTCTTGTCTAGGCAACTTTTCTACAGAAAAAGTTACTCCAGTCTAGACAACCTTTCTATAGAAAAAAGTTGCTCTAGTCTAGACACCTTTTCTACAGAAAAAGTTGCTCTAGTCTAGGAACCTTTTGTATAGAAAAAGTTAGTCTAGTCTAGACAACTATTATATATATAGCCTAGTCTAAAGTTCAGCCTATAGTTTAGTCTATAGAGTAGTCTATAATGTAGTCTACAGTGTATTTCATAGTCTAGTCTAAAGTCTAGTCTATTCTATAATCATTCTATAGTGTAGTCTATAGTGTAGTGTATAGTGTAGCCTATAGTGTAGCCTAGTCTAGTCTATAGTCAGTATAGTCTAGTCTATAGTCTAGTCTATAGTCTAGTCTATAGTCTAGT